AGTTTCCAACTAAACAGGACTTCCTACAGTTCCTTTCTACCAAAGCGGATGACGAAGAAGCCGCGGGAACTCGGATCAACTTGTCTATCCAAACACCCAATCAGCTACCACCAATGCCAGCAGGAGCCAAAGGGTCAGACCAGTGTTACATTCATACTAACATGACACACACGAATGATAACTGCTGGTCACAACACCCAGAAAAACGACCGTCTTGGCATAAAGGCAAACGCAAAGGCAAAAGTGCAGACCAAGTCGGCAACCCAGATATCATCCAGCCGATGAACCTTGCCATTGTGGCGACTGCCTTATCTTCGGATGCGGTAGTATTGGATTCAGGAGCAGCAGAACACTGCTTTAATGACCTCAAGTGGTTTGCACATATTGACTTCCACGATGAAGACAGTCGCTATATTGGGCACAATAACGTTCCCTACGGTCGTCAAGGGCTTGGGATAGTGCATCTTGCAGCGAATGGGAAAACACTTATCCTTCACAACGTTGGATACTGCGCGGTTGGCACTGCAAATATCATCGCGACGAGCATCTTGGAAAAGAGCTATGGACTGGTTGTTAATGGCCAAACCAAAGAACTGGTTTTCGTAAATTCAGGGCATAAGTTATGCTCGTATGAATGGCAATCGGGAGTAGCTGTTCTTGATGTCGGACCACAGTCCAAACCGCACGTCAACTTTTCGGTTCTTCCCAATCGAGCTACGATTAAGAATGTTGATTATGGCCTGATGCATCACCGGCTCATGCATGCTGGTGCAGAAAGAATTAAACGAGCTTGCAAAGCAGCTGGGATTGAGTTGAATGAATCATCTATTAGGGAATTTCACTGCGAGGCATGCTACCTCGGCAAAGCGGATGCTATTATTAGCAGGGCCAAGTTTGAGCCAACAGCCTTTCTGAGTCATGTCTACTGGGATCCGGGCCAAGTTTGAGCCAACGGCCTTTCTGAGTCATGTCTACTGGGATCTGCTACAACACACACCAGTCGGATATGGAGGCTACCGTTGGTCTCTTCACGGCATAGACGGATATACTGGCTTCCAGTGGATCATGTTCTTAACCAGAAAGAAACACGCACTGCCAAAACTAAAGGAATGGAAGGGGAAGGTGGAGAAGATGAGTGGCGGGCATCAAGTTCAAGCCTTTGTCTTTGACAATGGCGGCGAGTTCAAATCAGACAAGACAACTGAATGGGGCAACAAGGAAGAGGTCAAGATCAAATACACAACACCTTATGCCCATGAACAGAACGGCAGAGCCGAGAAAGCTGGCAAAGATATTGCAGCTGGAGCCCGCACAACGCTTATTCAGCTACAATTACCTCAAGAACTATGGCCTCTCTTCATGGAGACCAGTGTATATGTTCACAATCTCCTACCATCACGGCGGTACAACTGGCAACATTCACAATCTCCTACCGGCACGGCGGTACAACTGGCAAAGTCCAATCCAACGGATGTTCAAAATCATCAACTTGCCGTATGAACCAAGTCTCCGGCATATCCACACATGGGGTTGTAAAGCATACGTCACAATACCCAAGGAAATTCAAGTCAAGAGCCAGAAAATGGCCAACAAAGCAAGAATTGGCAACCTTGTTGGCATGGAAGGTCTGCATGGCCACGTATACAAAATATGGCTTCCGGATGAACAACGAGTCATCCGAGCCCGTGATGTGCGCTTCCATGAGGGACCCAACAATAAAACCCGCACTGATCCGACGATTGAATACGAAGCTAAACTCGTCGAGCCAGACCCTGAAGGTTCTGGAAAGATCACCTACACAGAAGTGCGGGATGAGCTAGGCACAGACCTAGGCGGAAAATGAGCTAGGCACAGACCTAAACGGAAAACAAACAGAGGAACATCGTGCGGATCCGTCTGGCACAATAACACCAGAAACACATTCAACGGACCGGAGTTCCTTGTCCCCAGATATTAGGCTGGGAACACCTCTCGAATCACCACACAGTATGCTGTCTTTCATCTGTGTTCCGCTGTGACGTTCAACACTTACTAAAGTCAGGCTTGCCTTCTCCACTCTGACGACATTCTTGTCCAATAGGGTCCACAATCACATGACTTGCAATGTGAACCCCGCACCGAACCTGAAGTTTGGCGCTTTCACTTCTGCATGACGAAGTTTATCCCGGCTGCGACATAACAGTAGCGAAGTCGTCTCCCTTGAATATAAGATTTCAGCTTTCCTCTACGAATTTCCTACACATGAGTCCTGAAACCACGATCGAAGACCAGATCTGGGCAGAAGATCTCGACGATAACGAGCGCACTGTCGTGGAGGGGCTGCACGATTGGTTGGCCAGAAACGAGCGTGCACGGTGGAAGCAAAGCAAGCACGGCATTGAGCTATGCCAAGAACAAGAACTTTATGACCTCGCCAGTCCAATATTGCCAAAAGTTCGACCGGCTCCGACTCTCCGAAAACGGTCTACATACTAACTTGCATAGGACGCCAAAAATGCAATTTTCCGAACAAACTCCACGTGGCAGCTCAAAGAGTCTGGAAGGTTGATTCCAATTTATGCAAGCGAAGGATGTTCTATTACCTATAAGTCAACAAAGTATTCTTTAGAATATGGGAAAAAACTGCACCTTCCTACGCAAGTTACACTGGAAGTTGCTGAACAGAGTATGCTCTACCTACTTTGGATAGTTCAATGAAAGCTGTACAAGAGATAGGTTCTTAGTGTACTAATTGTTGAGTATACCCTACCGGAGGATACATTCCTGTGCTGACTGTGTTTGTCGATATTATCTAACTTGTATTCTCCTGATCGTGTGTGTCCGACGACTAAGGAAGTGGCCAACCTGAGGTTGCAACATCTTGTACTTCGCAGTTCATCTCAGAGTTCTGCAACAGCGCGTCTATGCTCAGTAAAGGTGGACCGACAAAATTATCCGCACATAACGGTTGAAGTAGCTCTTCTATGCTCAGTGATGGTACACCGACAAAGTTATCTGTACCTAACGGTTGAAGTAGCTCTTCTATGCTCAGTGATGGTACACCGACAAAGTTATCTGTACCTAACGGTTGAAGTAGCTCTTCTATGCTTAGGGATGGTGCGTTTCCGGGCCCATTCGGATGAGACAAGTCGCCTGGGCTTGCATTCAAATGGCTCAAGCTCGCCGCATCCGAGTAAACTCGCTGGTCAATGGGCAATGGGTTGGGAGGATCGCGTCGTTCTCCCGATTGGAGCGAGAAGCCAGCCTCAGTTGCGCAGGCAGCTGAAGCAAGAGCTATGAGCTGTCTTGTGTCGCAAGAGTTTTCCACAAAGCGGCCACTGTCATCAACTTCTAAAGGCTGTGTGTTGACCTCATTGGGAGCAAATTCGATTCGGGGCCGCTTCGAATTTCCTCCGGTTTGACATTGGTTCGCTCCTCTTTTGCTCGAGCCTGACCCAATATTAGGCATCCAAAGAATCTTTTGATGGAACTTAAGTAGATCTCTCGCCATATTGTCGGCTCCCGTAGCCTTAGCCGCTTCGATGATTCCGATTTTTCGGAGGTGTTGGATAGCGTGTTTTTGGTCTTCTCCTACGAGTCCATATGTGTCCCACCTAATAAATTGTCAGCGAATTCAAGGCAAGAAAAGCCAGAGGAAGGGAACGTTGCGCTTACATAGAGTTTGGTAGAGAGGATATAAATAATGCTCCGTAATCGATGGCAATAATATCCTCATTTTCGTCACCATCAAAGCCATCTGATCGCTCAGATTGCATTAATTTCTTGCAAAAGGACACAACTTTCTTGCCACGTCTGATGATGTTGCCATAGGTCTTAACTTGTTCTTCAGATACCGGAAGCCCCAATCGCCGTAAAAAGAAGCCAACACGGTCGTCTGTCACATAAGTTGAGTGTTCTTCGCTTACCCGTTTAAAGAGGGCGTAAATCTCGATAGCGACAAATCTCTGTAAAATCTCCTGGTCCGTGATTTGAGAGTCTAATTTGGCTGCGCTCAAGACGAAATAGCGCGCTCTGTTATTAGAGACGTCGCTATACTTTAGAGGTTCTAGAACGGGCCGCTCCCAAAATTCGAGAGGGTTGAGTTGCCATCTGGCGAAGTTGCTGGAGACTTTCTCCAAATCTTTCCGACAGTCAATTTTTTGGATCTTACCATAATTAACACTGGAGGTTTTAGAGCCTTTGCAGGTCCTGCAAAACCTGCTTTTGAGAGGCGAGTATATTTGTCGGAGAATTTGCTCGTCTTCGCCTTCAGACAAAACGCCAAATTCATTCTCTGCACGTAAAGCTTGTAGAAGCTTGATGATGTCTCCATTCGTGGGAGGCATTGAATCTCCGTCTGTCGATATCGTGGGCTGCGGGAGAGGTGAGTCCCATTGCAGAAAAGTTAAGTGGAAGAGGTGAATCTAGGTGCCATGTTGAGGAGGTCGCTTACCATATCACGCTAACCCAAATTCAAGGAATTCATGGATCCATCCATGAATTCCTTGAATTTGGGTTAGCGTGATATGCAAGATGTCCGCTCCAGTGTCGATCTTCAGCCCGGAGGCACCCACCACGATGCGGGAGGTATCCCCGGACAGGGGCCCGTGCCACTTCTCTCGATACCACCGTGGTTTTGAGAAGCGTACAAACCGTGAGAATATGACTATACCCACCGTAAGCCGCCTCATGAGAAACTGATCAAGTCCATCCTCTCCCGCTCACTACTGTGAGGATTGTCACACCAACCAGCGCATTCATCGAGCTGTGGCAATTCATATACGAATTACATCAAACCCGGAATCGCTCGCCTCACTTACTTAAACGAGGTAGCCTCCAACATGCAGAAAAGTCGGTAAGTCGCTTTTGTTTACCTTCACCGAATCAAATGCAGCCATGCCGCTAACTGAGTTTCCAAACCTGTCTCTTGGACAAAAATGCGCTTTGACAGTCTGCTTCACAATCCATAGCCTCGTAGGCTTGGTCCTTGGGTTCCAGACACACAGTTTTCGAGCCAGTTTTTGCCTGCCGAAATCGTCGATGATGGCTAAACACCCGATTATCCTGTATACCATCACCGTCGGCGGGCTCTGTGTTGGCATCTCACTTCTACTGGCAATGTGGCTTAGTACAATGGAGCAGTCGGGACACTTTGCCAACTGGGGAATATACACGGGACTCGTGTGGGATATTTTGACCGAAGTAAGCCTCTCAGCATCTAGAGAAAGTAATCGGAATGACTGATATCGAGCCAGGCAGTCATTTTTGACATCTTTTTTGGCGCCATTAGACTTGCATCAGCTGTACAATGGGCATCTGTCCTGATTGGCGCAATTCTTCTGACCGTCTGTCAATGTATTGAGCTCGGGCCTCCGTCTTATCCAGCAGTGCTTTCTGTAGTTGGGTTCGTCTTGGTTCGGCTGGGCAAGCTGGCCGTATGGAGCATCGTACTATTCAGACCTGGCAAAGGAGCCAAAAAAAGTATCGTCGGTCGCACTTTTTGGAGAATCAATATTCAACTGCTAAGCGAGTTGTTCACTCTTACACTTGGGTTCGTGTCATTTATTCCAGTGATAGCCCCACGGTTGTGGACCAACTTGGTAAGGCAAGCCTCCGCCTCATCTTATAGTATGTGCTAACTCACTAGCTTTTACATTGTATTCTAATTCTTTCTAACGTGAAATTTTTACTTGCTATAGTACCATGGATAATATGCAAGATGCAAGATGATGGTAATCTTACACCTCTTGGACCAAAGAGCGAACGCCGGCATGACGCTGGAATTTGCAGCGGATTGCGGGTGGGCATGACGACGCCAACAGGGTCTGAGAATCAGCTTTTGGATGAGGCTGAAGGTGCCTAACGCTTGGGTCCAGTAACATCTCTCGCTTTCCATATAGCAAATTTTGCTTCTTATTTCCATGACCGGCATACTGGGAACCAATCTTAAATTGGAGTAGTGCAAGATGCCACAGTCGCGGAGTGGTCACATAGCTTGAGTGCACAGACAATTAATTATCCTCTATCGTGCATAGTCAGTATGTACATATGGATCCCTTGATCTCTTTACGTATTTTATCGGCATTACGCAATTTACACTCTTTGTCACATGCACATTTTGCTTCTGAGCAACGCGAAGCTACGTGAAGAGGAGGCCAGAGCACCGCCTTTTTGGCTCACCATGTCGGAATGAACTGCAGCCTATCAATCCGCCTCATCTGTAGCCTCAATTTTCAGTTCGTATCCAGAAAACAAAGGCCACTAATGGATGGCACACTAGACATGTTGGTATAAATAGGGGATTCGTCTACGTGATTATTCTATACTACTATTAAAATCATTTGAGCAAACCCACCAGAATTTGCTCACCTATAACTGCGATCGCTAATATGTCGGGAAAATTCTAATATCGTTGCCTATACTTTTCCACTTGTTACTGCCACAACTAGGCCAGGGTGAACAAAGCTCCTTGCATTACTTATAGGGTAAGCAACACACCCTTAACAGGAAGGGGGATGCTCAAATATGGATGTTAATACAAGCTCTGGGCTGAAGGGCGAGATGAAGAGCAAGCTATCGACCATATACAACAATTAGTCCTGAACTTAGAAATGCGAAGTCACCAAGCGGACAGATGGTGGCTTTTGGCACGGCGCTGCAATGGATGAAGGGATTACTTTCGGAATCAAAGAGGATATGGATCAGGCACTGTCTTGTCACAAAATAGTGGTGTACATTACGATAATATCTCCAGTCAACATTCCTTAGATACCAATATAAAGTGCTATACTCGCATGCGACGATTTCCAACCCACCCTTTATTATCCTTTAGCCTCGCCATATACAAGATCATTATATATTTCG